TAGGCATGTCTGCAAACATTTCTTCCATTCCTTGTTGGAAGAATGCTGGTAAGGAGTGCAACCCGAAAGGTGCACCTCTATACCAGTATTGTTTACCTTTCCAGGTAAAACTAAAGTACTTACGATGGGGTTCATAAATTTGTATTTGATGATACCCCTGTGTTAGGTCTATGGATGTAAACATCGTAGCACCTTCCATTCGTCTCAGTAACTCGTTTATACGATGGAGATGGAAACTACGAGTCGGCAATAACTTATTTATTGGACTCATATCTAGACATACTCTGACTTTCTTAAATGTTCCGTCAGAATTGTGTTGATCAACTGCCAATAATGCTAAGATGACTGGCGTTTGTTGGTAATTGATTTCGATTACCCCATCGGATAACCATTTATCAACTTGTTCTTTAACTACAGCTTTGTGTCTCCAAGAAACATAGTTTCTTGAAGGGCATTTGAGCTTAGTAAAGTCTACCTTGGTTAAGTCAAGGCTGACTTATCCGTCGTTAAAACGGAATTTTACCCAATCTGTGATCTTTTTATTTTCCTATTTACTAGAATCAGATCCAGGATTTTGTCCGCAAAGTCAGGTATTAATGCCTTGACTGTGTCTGACGGGGGCTTATATGGTTTCAGACAGTTATCGTCTGATTGATCCTTTAATGGATCTATGTTATTTGGTAAACCAGTTACAATTATCCCTAGAGTGAATAAGTCACTCATTCCGACTATTAAGTCGTACTTCTGTGACATCTTAACTATCACAGCTTGGGTAGTGATATTTCTATCATCGGCCAGGGAGATTTTAACATCTGTGGCCATGGTATCACACTTAGAAGTTTTGTCATCTGCTAAGATTAAGTGAGTATTTTGAGTGCGCCTTTCAATGTCTTTCATTAATGCAAAGCGGTCGGATATGAACCAGGATCAAGCAATGCAAGGACTTTATTTCCATTGCAATATACAGGTATTACTACACGCTCGTCTAAAGCGTCGTTGTATTTCCTTTGTAACGTTGTAACGATTGTACCTGGTAGTACTTTCACTCCAACTTAATGTCTGGCTTTTTGTCACAAGACTTGGCGTGATAGCCATTGGTCTTCTCACACTTGTCACACTTAGTAAGAAAGTGTGTACAGGTGGGTGCATGTCTGCCATTCCAATAACCGTTAGGGGTCAATTGGTGCATGTCATACCCACACTGTGCGTCGGCACATTTCTTAATCTCTTTAAATGAAGGTTGGGTCGCGTTGATTGAGTGGAGTCACGAGCACGTGTCTGGTTAGGACGCGTCTGATGAGGTTTATCATCTGACGTCTGGCGTGAGAGGTATCCTTGATCAGCGAGCTCGCGCGGTTTCTTATTTACCGCCTTTCCCTTCGAGGTTACTCAGTGTGCGGGGAAAAGAGTGGATACAGTATCATAAAACTGTTCCCCCGTAAGTCGGGATTCATGTCCCTTGTCTCGAGCCTCAGTAGCGTATTTACGTCGCAACTCGGTGTACAGACTTTCACGGTCGTTGTTCCCTATCGTACCATCGCTGCGCCTTGTCCTTTGTTATATCTGGACGTCTAAGGTCAGCATCAAGTTTCAGAATATAAGTTTCTCAAGCACGACAGTCTCGACCTTTAATAGTGCATTGGGTATAGCATAAAATAACTAATCTGTATTGGCGAGTAGATTATCGCGTACCGCCCACCCATGGATTCTGCTCCGTATTAGTGACGGGCAGATTGTAGTCCGATTCCAGATCATTATTTCCTAAAGTAAGAATCAGTTCGTCCTTCATCTCATCCGTATGTGTACCTGTGCGTACGACGGAGTAACGAGGAAGCATATGTACCGAGCACGCTGAGATCACTGTACAAATTAAAGGCATAAAGTAGCCTGAAATAACACACACCATGGGAGTGCCGCTATACATCAGAATACCACCTTAAATGGAAGTGCGTAAAGGATTTTCCAAACTTTAAACCGACAGCGATTAGGGTTGCAATCTAGTCATGTTGAGCTCATAGTCGAGGCAAATCGCAGGGTATTATGTATCATCATTGAGCACGCCATGATACCGAAATTTTTCCTTTTTAGCATCTGGGAATGTCTGATCGATCATAGCAGTAACGGTTTGAATAGTTTTGAATATATATTGGTGGTAAGCGGTCGAAGCATTTCCTTTTGCGAGCGGCGTCTGGCTGTCCCCATGCCGCAGATAGTCTCCAGTAACGATAATAAACGCTGGATTAGGTTCAACCTGTGAAGTCAGGATGTCAGATACTTCAGCACAATAAGAATTAAAAAACTCGAGATCGTCTTTCATTGACTATTATGTCGAACAGGCTCATAACCACAGCTGCATGGGTAGCAACATCAGTAGTCTTTGATATATGATCGAAGCATCAGACTCTAGCTACGGCAGTCACACAGAAAAGTGAACCGTACGAAGAAAATTCATCACGGATTTCCAGATCTAAATGAACAAATACAAAAGAACGCCCATGTGGACTCTTAAGGACAAAACACGCGCGATCATTCCGGCAAAGGCCACCATATATTCCTTACCAGCGTGTCCAGAGTCATGGGAGAATATGTAAGAATAGAGAGGTACACGAGTACGTGTTATATGTTAAATAACACGTGAACTTACTACATCCAATGCAGACGTAGAAAAAATTACATTACTTTCCTGACAAAAGTCAAATATAATCATCGATATAAACATTTGATAATATGCATATGAAACAAAAATAAGTGCAATCTACGTATATATACATAACTACTTGGCATACCAGCTACTTGCCATTGCCAACTACGATACAACAATCCAATGCACACTAGAAATTTTCGGAAACAACCGCAGATATGCTGTCAACCACGTCATTACAGACACGCATATATATATATCCATAGTTTCCTTTTCAATTGTTTTCGTGTAAATATTATGGTTTTGAGTATGAAGTTTTACGCAGGCGGATAAAATTTCCACTCTGGATGTTTTGGAGAGTCTACTGTGTGGTCAGGCATGATAGTTCAATACGGATATCAGCAAATATTGAGCTGTATGCTTTATCATGAACTATCGTGCGCTACAAGCAAGGTCGTATGAATTTTTCCTTATTAGGAAGCTATGGTGAAAGCAACGATGTTCAGAGCCAAAGTCCGATGAAAGCGCAGCCAAATGCGACTCTCTTTTGACCGCCCTCCACATGCGCACAGTTTGGAATGATACACTCCAAGCGATAGAGTACGCAGTGAGCTGCTTTCGGTATATAGTCACTGTAAGTAACCATGTATACTCACGTAATGCGAACCCATGCGTGCACAGAGTGTATCTACATGATATACACAATATAATAAATACATAGAGATACACATTTTTACCATACTAGCACAATCTTATCGATAACGGGGTGTACGGATCTGTTGGTACCTTATTCATGTGTGGGGATATATCGGAATATACAAATAACGTCCACATGTAGGACTTTTACATAACTACCCATGTTCAGTACTTCGGTATATTTACATATCAATAAGGTTACGAAACCTATATAACTGACTTTTTAGCAGCGATATATATATACATCGAGGATGTATCTATGCGCCCACAAAAGTGTAATACAAATATATTATGCTCCTCGTACAATGTTTCTATTTGCGCATATACACTTGCACAGCATGTGTTACGCTCTACATAGTATATATGGATACACACACACATATATATATATATATGTGTGTGTGTGCGTATATATATATATATATATAGTCATATATATATATATATAGTATGTATATATATATATATATATATATATATATATATATATATATATATATA